TGATTTGTGAGAACACATCTCAAGTCCCAGATTTGGTAGATGGAGGGGAACTTTTATTCTCTGACGAGTTATTCAGGTCCATGTCTCTTACCTATTTGTAAAAACTGGCTTTCCCTGGTCAAGCATTGCCCGCTCTGGCGGACTTGCCAGAAATACATGTTATCAGACCCAGAGTGGCTGTTAGAAAATGCTGAGGGATTAAAAATCACTCCTGCTAGAAAGTGAAAAACACATATTCTACTTAAAGTATGTCAGGGCTCTTTTACATAGAAGTTTGTCACATTACAGGATATTTTAGTTTGGAAAATTAGTTTCAGTAATTACTTCTTTGTAAAACTAATTCCTATTTTGGAAAATTAGACTCAATAATTACTTCTTATTAAAAATAAATCTTGCTATTTAATGTGAGCCACCCTAAGAGAAGTGAATAAGCCTCATTATGTGTTTTTGCCATTATTCTTAACAGTGTCAAAAATAAGTCCTGGAAAACAAAATCACACTGAAAATTAGTCTTAAAATGACTGTAGCTAAGAATAGCTTTGTTTTTCAAATGCAAAATGGGTTGATAAAGTTCGATAATCATTTTAATCTTTATATTTACTGCTGACTTTATTTTAATTTCTAGTTCTAATTCAGATTTCATTATATGATTAAAGAAAAAAGTGTGCATCGCTTCTAACAAATGACCTAACACTTGATTTCGAAATTAAATTCAGTTATAAGAAAAAATTAGAACTTAATATTTTTATTCCTAAAAAGCAATTCAGTATACAATTCTAAATACCTGGCCTAGAAAATCAATCAGAAATTGGGAAAATGGTTAAAGTAGAAGCGTGACCATTAAAACATTATTTCTTATAGTGAGTAACTGTAGAGGCATAAATTAGTGAAACAGAATACAGTCTAGAAATGTGTTAGAGGAAAAGTTGAATAAATTAAATTATGATATTTTCATGTTATGAAATGATACGCAATCATTAAAATCCGGTTTTGAAGCAGTTTTCATGATTTGAGTATGCTTAGCATATAGCATTAAGTAAAATTTCAATAAGCAGAATACGAAATTACATTTACACTATAATTCTAATTACACACCCATAAAGAGACATGCACACACCTGTCAGACATGCACACACAGGAGGACCAGGACACTCTACACTACAGCCTTTTTTTAAAGCAGTACTTTGCATCTGTCCTTATTTCCGGAATTCTCTTGACTTGGAATCTGAATCATAGAGACAGTACTTTCCATTCACCTTTGTTTCCTCCTCAGCTTGCTTCACTTAGCATACCTGTATGCCTATATGCCTCTCTAATGGATAGATCGATAAAATATGAAATCGACTTCCAAATCATTAGTTATTTAAAAACTTCCAAAGTTGATTATGTAAAGAAATACGTAAGAAGTAGTCTTTACCACAATTTTCAAATATTTAATGCAGTTTTTTAGCCTAAGTTATACCAAAATTAATTCTACAAGATTCCAGTGGTAAAATGTTAATAAATTAGTGTTCAAAAATTTATTTGACAGATCAGGCAAAATTCTGTAGAAAACAAATTTAAGGAACAAATGTTCTGAGTAACTGAGGTGAAGGAGGTAAAACATACACGGGAGGGAGTGCCTGTCTGGTCTCTGGGAAGTCTGATGAGCTCCCATAAGTTACCCTCACTTGGGATAATAACAAAAACTAGCATGTACATGTTAACGCTTGCTGTGTGCCCAGCCCTGTTCTAAAGCCTTTTACAAATATGAATTCATGTAAATTCTCAAGACAATCCTGGAAGGTAGTTATTACCATCAACTTTTTACAGAGTGGTCACACTGAGGCACAGAAAGGTCAAGTATTTTGGTCACCAGCTGTGGCAATTGTGGAGTCAAGGTTCCAAACCAGCCAGGCTGCCTTCAGAGCCTGCACTCTTGATCTCACACACACTGCCTCAGAGGAGAAGTGGTCTCAGTGCTAGGGCATATAAGAAAAGGACATGAATCAGGGTTAAAATTGTCATGGATGGTTTTGGTAAATTTTGTACAATATTTCATATCTCTGAGTATTTCGATTTGATCACAACTTACAGATACATTATAAAGAGCTACTCCATCCACCTCTGCTATTTTTCTGTTCATTTGGCTGCAGGTTGTACTCACTTTTACTGTTTCCTAAAAATTGCTTGATTCTTCTTGCAGCAGTTTGGCCTTCAGTGTCCGCTAACTTGGTATCAGTTGGGTGGCCCTTGAGGAACTGACCCGAGTCAGTCATCTTCTTCAGGTAATAGCTTAAGGAGAGTCTATAGCTGGTGTGTGAGAAAATATTTCCCTTAAATACTCATTCCATTTGGACTCTAAAATTATTGTATATACTTTTAGTTTCTTTACGTGTTCCCTATATACATGCATTATATATTAGTTTTTTAAATCTCAATTTAGAATTTAAAAGCCACTTTTTTCTTCGATTGGGGTATACCAGATTAAATTTGCCATAAAGTTTTCTTAAAAATAACAAAAGTGGGGACGTTGCTCCCAACAAGTTGCAGGCCTGAAAGTAACGCGGGCGGCCCCGGGGGCAGGAGGGGCGCTGG